AGTCATGCAATGATGAAGTACCGAATATGGTCCCCTGTGTCCGGCTCCCTTAGGTGCAATGCCTCACTTTGGACCGGTTAACTCTTAATTTTAACGGTTAATTAACCGGTTAAAGAATTTTTGCGCGGTGCCAACCTCTAATCTGAAAGAGATAATACTAACAATAAAAGTAAATTAATTAATATTATAGCTAGAAAGGTAAGACCATTGCTTATATTGTTGAGAAATGGGATTTTGTATATTAAGGAATGTTATAGTACAATTTAAAGAAAGAAACTATTTAGTTGGAAAAATATGCGTATAACGAATAAGAATTACATGCGGTAATGTTGACTTTATATTTTTTTATATTGTATGCTAATAACAAATTGAATATTTATTATAATTAATATTATTAGGGATTGAATACTGAAATCAATTGCAGAATCAAAAAGAACTACTCAATTAAAAAAACTGATAGATGCCTATTGTACGAAACAAGGGAAAGATGAAATCCACCTTAAGTTTCTTATGATGATGATCGTATACAAGGCCATAAGACACCTATATATGTATTTACTTATTTATTTATTTATTTATTTATGGGATATTACAAACAAAAGAATTTTAAAAGTATTTTTCTTAATTATTAGTTAGGTATGAAAGATGATGATGTCATTGATGTTTTGCTGGAACAAACTGGTTTGTGATAAAAATAATGAACTATCACCATTAAATTAAAAATATTATAATCAACTTTATTAATTGGATAAATAAATCTCTATAAAAAACGAGTGGCGCCAGGATTATTACTAAATTTAGACTAGTTCTCGATCATCATATCTAAATTTGGCATTATGGAAAATGTTTTTTGTCCAAAATTCACGTAAAGACCTTTTTTAAAAAAAATTTATTGCATTTTTGAACGAATTACGAAATCGCATTTTTGAAATTTGAACGGGTGGCGTAGCAACAGGAGGTCTTTAGACCGAACCAACCATATAACAGATAAGCAAATAAATTTTATTGTTTATTTCTAAAGTAGTAAAACATATTTTTTTATTTTAGAATTAAACATAATAAAATACACAACTACATAGTCAACCATGTTAATACAAAGTTGGTTCCAGAAACAGTAAATCCACTCCGTTAAATCAAATTTATTAAATTTAATACTAATTTTGAACGGAATGACGGAGTTGACTATGTGGTTTGTGGCCTAGTACTAGGCCCCTATAAATTATGCGTGCAAAGTTTCTTTTTCAATAATAATAATAATGATGATATAGAAAATCAGGAAACATGTAATTTTACATGCATGTTCTACAGGACCTATAGGCTATAAGCCAAATATATTGTAATTGATACAATTGGTTCTTTGAAATTTTGTTGTAGTGTACCATTAATCTAATAAAATTTATTTGAATCTATTAAAACTAACAATAAATTTATCATTTATCAAAAAAGAAATAAAGAAACTTTAAAGTATATAAATATGATTGATTTTGGACTGAGATTGATGCATCAAAAAAATTTGCAACATTAAAAATCATTAAATTTTATACATTTAATAATATTATTTTGAATAGATTCTTTTAAAAACGATGTTGTTTAAATTGACTACTACTTGTGTAGTCAAATTCAATCATTAACGCCATCAAAGGAATAAGATTAATATTAATATTAATTATTTCAATGATTTTTCCGTTTATATTAACTACTAAATCCGTTAACGTTGTGGAACGAATTTATTAATATTAATTATAATTGTTAATATTAATAAAATCCGTTATGACAAACATTTTTGATTAATAAAAAAGGGGACAATATTTGAATCCATTGTAACAAGAAATCCGCTGTGGCGAGGTTTGACTGTAAATAGTTTTGGCATATTAATCGAGTTTTAACATTTGTTTGTAGTTTCAGCATAATGGTTGAGTTTTGACAAAAATTGAGTTTCGGCATTCATTTGTAGTTTCGGCAACAAACTGCAGTAATTGAGTTACGGAAAAGTGACCAAGTTCGGATTATTAGTTTCTATGACCTTTTTTTTTCTGAGTTTCAGCATCATCACATTTTAGTTTAGGCAAACTTTTGTATTATGGAAAAACCATGGAGGAAAGATGGACTTTGCCGCTGTTGCAAATTCGTAGAAATTTCAGTAGTCTTTCTTGAATTAAAATTCAAACAACGGACTATTTTTTTTATAGGGTTACAAATCATTCGAGTAGAAAACTAATGTCCCAGTTCGTCCCAAATATAAACTGACCAGTATCAGGCCGTTAACATTTCTACTACTAAGATTACTGGAATAAATGGGATAAAGGTCTGAAATACTCAGAAAGTGTCCGCATAAGGACATTTCATTAAATGGATAAAATTGGTGGTAAAGGAATTTATAGGTGATATGCTTAATAACTTTGAATAGTGATGTGTCGTTCATACTAAACTTGATTTTTTTCGCGCATACATTATACAGATGTAAAAATTATGGGTAATTGAAAAAAAATTTGTTCGTTGTGCCACGAACTATGCGCGGAACATCAGTAGCTTCGCATGTAACTCCTATTATATAAATAATAATGAAAATACTAAGTATAGTAATTATCATTCACTATAATAAAAAAATAAATTCCGAGTTACACACTGACAACTTGATAAATCAAAATTCTGTAATAGTGATTATTTTTTAAGGTTTTCTTCAAATTAGTTTAACAGTAGTTAGATGTTGTTTCAATAAAATACTCATTTTGTTCTTTGCATCTTTGAATTTTTATCCACGCTCCCCATCCTCTTTAAATTGTGATAACGAATTTTTTTTGTCATACTTTTATTATAATTAATTTATTATTTTTTAACTCTATCGTGCCCTTTTAAATATAAATAATGTCGGAAAAACCATATCAATCAACTCAATTATTATCTGAAAGAGATAATACTAATGATAACAGTAAATTTATTAATCTTATAGCCAGAGAGGTAATACCATTGTTTATATTGTTGAGAAATGTGCTTTGGTGATATTAAGCAATGTTATAGCACATTTAAAGAAAAAAAAACTATTTAGTTGGAAAAATATGTGTATAACGAATAAGAATGACATGCGGTAATGTTGACTTTATATCTTTTTATATTGTATGCTAATAACAAATTGAATATTTATTATCATTAATTAGGAATCAAATGTCGAAACCAATTTCAGAGTCAAAAGAACTACTCAATTAAAAAAACTGATAGAAGCTTATTGTATAAGACAAGGAAAAGAGGAAATGTACCTTAGGTTTTGTTATGATGGTGAGCGTATACAAGGTCACGACACTCCTATAGATGTATGTATTTATTTATTTATGGTATATTACAAATAAAAAAATTTTAAAAAGTATTTTTCTTAATTTATTAGTTGGATATGCAAAATGGTGATGTCATTGATGTTTTTCTGCAACAAACTGGTTTGTAATAAGAAATAGTGAATTATCATTCAATTAAAATATTAAAATCAACTTTATTAATTGATTTATTTTCTCAAAATAAATATAGGTGGATAAATCTCTATAAAAAAGCGAGTGATATATACATTGTGTGCACTTTATTTCGTACATAAATTTTTAATTTTCTCTTTTACTGTTTATTTATTTCTTTTTATATATATATAACTTGGCTCGGAAAATAATTATTTAATTCTTTTTCTCTCTGCAAATATTACATATTGGTGTATATATATATATAAAGTGAATAAACCTATTATAAATTCTAATTTAATTAATGTGTTCTTTGATTTGTTGGGCAATATCGATAAAAAAAATTCTAGCAAAGAACCTATAATCAATCAGTGTTAAGATGTGTCATTAAATACTTTTTTTATAAATGTCTAATGGAGTTTCATTTCATTTATTTTCCATGCATCATTCTCAATCAACAGTCTTCATGTCCTGTTTAATTCGTTGATCTATTGGATAATAATATATAATAAATTTGTGTAAGATCAATTATTATTTAAAACATATTGACAATTTAATTTCTAAAGAATAGGATTTATCATATTACAAAATCTTTAAAACAGGTACCTGCAATTTATACCAATCACAATTGTCTTTTGCTTGAATATATTTAAAATCATTTTCAAATCCTATAATAATTGTAAATAAACAAAAAAATGCCTCCGGTCGAGCCATGTCAATGACTAAAAAATTCGTCCAACTCCAACCAATGCCCCGGTCGAACGAGTTTTTCAGGAGGCAAAGACTTAATTGCTCAAAGGCGTTGTATTTTAAAACCTGAAACAATTAGAGTTTGAATGAGCTTAAAAGATTTGTGGAGACGACAAATTTTATATATGAATTGAAAAAAAATAGAACGTCCTTGAGGGTTTCTATTTGAATAAGGTTTATTCGAAATTTTTTTGTTTCATTCATTATGAATTCGAGTATTCGAATCACATTGAAAGTTTAGTCGAATAAAACAAATAATTGGAATGAAATGAATGAAATGAATAAACCGAATAATTCGAGTGAAACTAATGAAACCAACAATTCAAATAAAATGAATAATAAAACGAATAAGACGAATGAAGTGAATAAAGCGAATAAAACGAAAAATTCTAAGAATTTACATTACGAATAGAAAATGTAAAGCGTAGAGTACATCTATGAATATGTAATGATCAGACCTATAACTTACCAGCTACATCTAAACATGGATGAAACGGATAAATTCAATTAATAAAATAATTTAACTCGGAATTAAAATGTTCCAGCTAACAAATTAGCATTAAATCCTAATTCTGGTAACATTATTTTATTAAAAATAAAAAATATATTGTTTGCAAAGAAGTTTATAAACAAATGGATTTTAGCCTATCTAGAAAAAAAAGGCGATATTCAGGTCTTTACTTTTTGGAAAACTTGTGTATTAAATTATTGTTATTGTCATATACAAGGCTAAAACCAAGAAAAATTGCATGTTAATTTGAGAATATAAACTACAAGCTAATATAAACAAATAATTAATTGAATTTGAATTTTATTATTTAAAATTATTAAATTTTAAAAAGAAAAATTAGTATGAGCAAATAAATTGTAAAATATAAACCAAGTTCAATATTGGCTTTGATCCATAAACATCAATTATATTTCCTAATAATCTTGTTTACTTGTTCATCTATCAGAGACAACATTTTTGATATCCAGGTTATCTCATCAAAGTAATCACAACAGTTCAATGTAATGTTGTGAAGTTGGCTTAGAACATTTTTTATTTTATATAGTTTTAGGAATAATTTGTGTTCCAGGTACAAAGATTAATCATAAATTTGAATTAAAATATTAATCTTATTTTTGACTAAACCCAACATTTTTCTTGTTGCAACAGTAACACAACATCTAAATAAAATTAATGAAAAAAAAGTTAGTCAAATGAATGACTAAACTGATTTTTAGCAAACAGACCCGATGCTCCTGAATCAGCCCTAAGGTTGTTATGTAGTCAAATAATCAAAACCATTCAGAAACACATTTTCTGAGTCTTGCTTCATAATAGTATAAAAAGCAAACTGGTAATGGTAAAGGAAGAAGTAGATCAGATCAGATTCCTATGTAAATTTGTTATAAAAGAAAGGAAAAAGAGGAACTTTTAATAAGAAAATATCATCTTATGAACAACAAACATGTTGAATAAATCAACAAAACAATAACAAAAAATAATAATAAAAACAAAAAAAATAATAATATATTACAATGATAATAACAATAAAGCAAAAAAGTATACCATTTTTGAATAGCAAATCTTTAGGTGTAGCACAAAAATATTATTGAGGAATTAGATATTAGTGATCTTGAAAGTTTAAAAGAAAACTATTTTTTATAAAATAATAGAATTGATATTTATTTGTAAAAAAAAAATTATATAGTACAGTCAACCCCCTCTAAGTGCACCCCCTCTAAGTGCACACCCCCTCTAAGTGCACGCTTTCATTCATTCCCAAGCTCGGGAATTAGAGATAAGTGCACACCCCCTTCCCCCTGCACTGCACGGTCTTTTTTCATTCCCATCTATATAAAACTCCCCCTCTAAGTGCACTCCCGTGAC